TATATATATACATATATATATATTTGATTTATTTAAAAGTTACCTCTCTGTTTTTAACGTGAAATTCAGTTTGTGCTACTGAGGAACATTGCATTGCAGAAGTGCCTGAAAGTGAACTTGGGATTGAAATGTGGTCAGACCCAGCTTTGCCAATTCCCTGCTGTGTGACCTTAGAGAAGTCTCAGTCCTCTGAGCCTCAGTTTCTTCATCTGAGAAAGGGGATGATGATTTACAGCGAAGGATTTTCCGGGGATCGAATGAAGGGAGATGATGTCTTCGGAGCCCCTAGTATGTACCTAGCTCCTTAAAATCAGAGCTCACTAACTATTCTTCACAAGTGAATGTCCCTGGTATTCCTTGGGATCATTACTAGCAATTTTGAAAAATAAATTGTTGCCGTTTTCCAATGAAAAGGAGCTTGATAAGGTCAGTTCATCTCATACCAGAAGGTACGGATGCTGGCCGTCCTGGGTCTGATCCATCTTGTGGCACGATCACTTCACTGAGGACCCGGGCTTTTTCCCCTTCCTGCTCTGGTGACCGCACGGTTGGCATCCGTCCTCAGGCACGACCCCTCATGGTCTCAGGATGGCTGCAGCGGCTCCAAACATCACATACTCACATGCCGCTGCCCAGAAGCCTGAAGAGATCACTTATTTCCCTTCTGGTGTTCCTTTCTAACTTTCAAAAGCTTCTTTCCCAGAAGCGCCCCCCTCCCCTCCCCACCCAGCAGACTTCCTCTTGTGCCTTCTCGGTCACAGTCATGTCATGTTTCTCTTGCGGTGCATCCGGAGTTTGGGAGCCACCTGGTGGGACAGCTTGGCTTGGTCTTTCACGAGGGTAGTCACGTGAAGGCTGGGTGGGGTCGGGAGAGCTGCTTCCAGGGTGGCTCACTCGACGTGGCTGACCGTGGGTGGGAGGCCTCGGCTACACGGGCTTCTCCAGCGGCTGCTTGAGTGACGCCACGGCACGGCAGCTGGTTCTCCCCGGAACGAACGATCCAGGAGACCAAGACGAGCTGTAATGCCTTATATGACCCAGCCTCAGAGGCCACACTCCATCTTTTCCACCGTGTCGTCGAGGCCGCACAGGCCAGGCTTGAGTCCGTGTGGGAGCGGATGTCAGTGTGTGAACACAGGAGGTGAGGATCGTTGGAAATTCCTGGAGGCCAGGTGCTGTTTGCATGGCGGTGTCTTCCTGTTTTTTAGTATATTTATTCTTTTGAGAGAGAGAAAGCACAGGAGGGGCAGAGAGAGGGAGAGAGAGAATCCCAAGTAGACTCTGTCCGCGCTGTCAGCCCAGAGCCCGACATGGGGCTTGAACCCACGAAACGCGAGATCATGACCTGGGCCGAAACCGAACGTCGGACGCTTAACCCGCTGAGCCAGCCAGGCGCCCGAATGGCAGGTGTCTCCTGATTGGTGGTCACTTGCACTGCCCCGCCTCTCTTTGCAGTCAGATCATAACTCTCAAACGTACCTTCGGAGTCTGTGCAAACTCCATCCAGCTGTCCCCACGTGATGCGGCCTCAGCCTGAACCCCGATTTTCCTCGTGTAGTTTAAAAGTGGGGAAGAATTGGCCTCAAAGGGAAGACACACTAGCCATCAACCGCCAAATGTGTGGCAGTTTCAAAAATTGACATGGTGTGGCCCCGTGTCTGGCAGATAGTAGGTGCTCATTAAATGTGTCCAGAGACACGTGGATGAGATTCGGGCTGTCCTGGCAGCTCTCCCAGGTGGATGAAAATCTACCTGTGAACTTCAGACCAGAGAGAGGGTACCTCTGCTCAGCTGCAGCTGGAATTCTAGACACCAGGGTGGGAGGGCAGGACTCTGGGATTCCTGGACCCGAGCGATGGTTCTGGAAGAACGTCCTTCTGGTCACCAGAGGAGCTGCAGGGGCCTTATTTCTGAGGTGGGCTCCCTTTCCTCTTTCACGTGGCCCAGTACTGGAGCCACCACCTGCCACGGGTGCAGTTCTGGCGCTCACAGTGGCATCGTCCTCATTTGACAGTTGTCACGTTGCCGTAGGTTGGCTCTTGCTTCTTCCCCACGCTCCCGCCCACTGGTGCCCTCAGAGCATGCTCGGAGCCAAGTGGGAAGCCTGGCCACAAGAGGGAAGCAGAGCCCATCCTGCTTTTCTTGAGGCTCCCGCAGCGGAGTTCCAGGCTTCTGGACGGTCTCGATCCCTTCCCATGATCCCTCTCATGCCGGCTGGTTCCCGAGAGCCTCCTGCTCCTTGCGAACGTGTGTACTTCTAGTATTTCTAGACAGAGAAACGTGTGATAGCCAGAAGAGATTCTGCATGTGAGGAAAACCTCACGCTTGCCTTTTATTCGTGGACGTGGCGTCTGATGGCAGGAGCCAGCATTACGGCTGAGTGCTTGTTGAGTAGGAGGTCCCGTGGCGGGCTCTGCTCCTGAAATCCTCAACGTTGAATTCCAGCGGCTGGGACGTGGGAATTACTATCTCCGTGTTAGAGACGGGGAAACAGAGGCCCAGAACTGTTACAGCACCCAGCTGAGAACTGGTAGAACAGGTCACAGACCCCGGTCTGGCAT